TATAAACAAACTCCCCAGATACCTGGGGAGACACACACACACACACACACCCACACACACACACACACACACGTGCTAGGGTTGACGACCACTTCTCTAAGCCTCGTTTCGAATGAAGATGGTCCCCAACTTAAGATGGTTCGACTTACTGATGTTTCTATTTTACCAGGGTGCAAAAGCGATCCGCGCCGTGTAAGCATTCAGCAGGCCCTGTCCTCAGTGGCCTCACGGCATGCCGTTGCTCGCTCTTAGTGCAGCGTTCAGTACGTTACATGAGATAGTCAGTACGGATTGTTAAACAGGCCCGGTTCCTTGAGTTTACCCAACTGTAGACTGATGGAGGTGCTCTGAGCACGCTTCACATAGGCCAGGCCAAGCTGGGACATGCAGTCGGCGACGGGGATTACTTCCTGTGGCTTAGCGGGACGTGACCCCATCGTCAGTTGAGGAGCATCCGTGTAGAGTGGCGCTGTCATTGCCATGACACGAGGCATGGATTCGATTTTCTTGAGGAGAGAATTAAGCTGAGAGGGGCAGAAGGCTTTGGACGAAGACAGCCCTTAAAGGCAGGGGCTGAGTGAAGCCTGTCCGCCCTGCATGTGCTGTGGATGGGGGTGTCTGCCCCTGAGCTGGCGGCCTGTACTCTGCTTCTCTCAGCCCCTCTGAGGTGGACCCCCTGCATGCCCAGCCACCCTCAGGCCCACTCCCATTGATCAGAACTGCTCAGAACAGGGCAGTGGCTTTGGTAGCAGATGGCACCGGTCTACACTGGCTCACCACGTGTGAGACCCTGGCAAATCGTTTTATATCCATTGATTTGTTTAACTCTTGGACCATGCCATGACATAGTATCATCTCTTTTTTGCAAATGGAGAAACCATGGCACAGAGAGGTTTAGGACTGGCCCTGGGTCGCCAAGCACGGAACTGGCAGAGCCACAGTTTGAACCTAGCTCCTTGGCTCCGGAGCCCTGTCTTGGCCACTGAGCTGGGCAGACACACTGTGCGTCCTCTCTGAAGGCAGAGGGGCCCCACCGCCCTCCCTGCCAGCACCGTTCTTGCTCGGATGAAGAGACAGCACCATATTTGGAGCAATTGCCCAGAACAAACGAACTGGGAGCAACATCAAAACATGCTGGTTTCTGGCTTGAGTTGTCCGGATCACTGTCGGGCCCAGGGCCTTCGGGGTGGGCTATCCTCTCCAGAAGAGCCACATGGGCAGATGTCGTGGAAGGAGGGGCGGGGCAGACTGCCCCTTACGGCACCTCCTGTGCCCTGCCCCTTGCCGATCAGAACCTCATCTCTGGATCCTCCTGGACTTCACTCCCCAGCCAGCCGGCCGGCTGAGTCCCGCATGGGCCGCTCTCGGCTGACCGTTTACTGCATGTCCCAGACACTCAGCCACCGTGAGCTGAGGGCTCACGGGCCAAGTGCTGTGTCCACGGTGTTCCTTTATTTCATCCTCTCGCATTCCCACTCGCGTGAGAGAAACTGATGCCGGGTTGGGGGTGCCCTCAGCCAGGGAATTCCAGGGCCCGGAGACAGCCAGGCCAGCCCCAGGCCCCAGGTCTTAATCACAACACCACGTGGCTGGCTTCTTGTGTGTCTCAGCCGCTCCCCGCCCCCCCGCTGCGCAGCACTGGAGTCCAGGGCTGTACCCTGGGGACACTGCTCACCTGGCCTCTCTCTCTGCAGGCCAGAAGCACTTGTGTGTCACCAGTCTCCTGATCTGCCAGGGTCTGCTCTGGGTGGGCACCGACCAGGGGGTCATCGTCCTGCTGCCCGTGCCCCGGCTGGAAGGCATCCCCAAGATCACAGGTGAGGTTCTGGGAGCTGCTCTTGGCCAGCCGGGGGTAAGCTGCAGGGGACTGGGGCAGGGTGGGGAGGGCGTAAGGTGCCCAGGGTTTACACTCTCTCCCGGCGTGGGAGTGCGATCTCAGTCTCCAGGTGGCAGGTGGGATTGAATCATCCCAGCTCCGTTAACTCCCGCCTTCTTCTGGAGCCTCAGTTTCCTACTGTGGCAGATGGGTACAGGAGTGCCTGCTGGCCAGATGGCTTGAGGGCCGGCCGAGGTGCCCGACTCACGGCGGAGGCTGCGTTGGGTCCTCTCTGCTCACTCTCCACGGCAGATAGGAAATGTCCTAGCTCCAGAAGTAGAAATACCTGAGCACTGCGGGGATGGGCCTGGTCCCTCACAGAGTCACGTACAAATGTGTTTGCACAGAGCAGAGGAAGGTCTGCTCTGACTTGTGGCCTGGGGCCCAGAGGGATAGAGGTGGGGTCAGGGAGAATCCTGGAACTCAGGTCCCTGCCCTGCTTCCGCCTGAGTAAAGCAAAGTTGTCTCCTCTAGCTGCTGCTGGAGAACAGGGGTGAGAGGAAGGGGAGCCCCTGAATGGGTGGACCATCCTTGTCCAGGTCGTGGGTGCCTTTGCTAAAGAAGAGTCTCTTCCAATTTCTTTTCTTTTCTTTCTTTTTTTTTTTTAAGGGAGATGTTTGCCATAGGGTGTGTAAGATCGCAAGAGAGACAGAGAGACAGAAAGCGAGAAATCACCCCCCGGGGGGATGGCCATGCTGCAGTCCCTTCTCCTCCATTCTCCTCTCAGGATCTTGGGCACGCACGCACACGCACCTGGTGTGATTTTCAAGCCACTGGGTTGGTCTGCGGTCGATCACATGGTCCAGTGCCTCACCCACTGTGCCACCTGCTGGCCTGTCTTCCAACTTCTGATATTTCCTGTTTCCTTGATTTCATTCCTTCATCCAAGAGGTGTTGTTTATTTTTCTTTTTTCCTTTTAAAGTATTTGGGAGGTTTTTTTCTTCCTTCCCTGAGACAAACCACACACATAGGCACCCCGGCAGGGCCCCCTAGTCTCAGGCAGCCAGATCATAGCACACACCCCCGTGCTGAGGGAGGCCTCAGGCTGTGAACCCAAGGTCCCCTGTGGGTCCAGCAGCCTCCCTGCTGTCCCACCACAGTAGGGGTGGCCCCCAGGGCATCTATGGAGGACTCTTGCCCAGGCTGGGCCCGGAAACACAGAGGCAGCAGGCAGAGACCCTGCCCTCCAGGAGCCGAGGTCTCAGGGGCAGCCTTGGCCCAAGTGCAGGAGCTGTAATGGGGGAAGGGTACTCCAGGGGCCAGGGCACAGAGGCAGTGAGCCGCTCTTCAGTGAACTAGGAGCTTGAGCTGGGCCTGGAAGGAAGTGCAGTCAGAGGGGAAGGCTGTCTAGGATCAGGCCATGGACTGGGCACAGGCTTGGAAACAGAAAGTTCCCAGGCTGGAAATTGCATGCCCAAGCTCCCCCTGGGAAATGCGTACGGTTGCTCCTGTTCTGCTTCCCCAAAGCAAGCAGCCCAGGAGCATGGCATAGCCAGGCCCATGGCCTTCCGGGGGGCCAGCACAGATTGTAGGTATCTGCACCCCTGTCCCCAAAAAGTCCCTGGAAAGTTCTCCAGGAGAGATGAGTGGGTGCCCCCTTCATACTCTGGGCCTCTCCCTTGCCCTGTCTCCTGCAGGGAAAGGCATGGTGTCACTCAATGGCCACTGCGGTCCTGTGGCCTTCCTGGCGGTGGCTACCAGCATCTTGGCCCCCGACATCCTGCGGAGCGACCAGGAAGAGGCTGAGGGCCCGCGGGCCGAGGAGGACAAGCCAGATGGGCCGGCTCATGAGCCAGTGCCGGCACCCGACAGCCAAACAGGCCGAGAGCTGACCCGCAAGAAGGGCATCCTCCTGCAGTACCGCCTGCGCTCCACCGCCCACCTGCCCGGCCCGCTGCTCTCCGTGCGGGAGCCCGCGCCCAGCGACAGCTCAGCCCTGGAGCACAGCGAGGAGGACGGCTCCATCTACGAGATGGCCGACGACCCCGACGTCTGGGTGCGCAGCCGGCCCTGCGCCCGCGACGCCCACCGCAAGGAAATCTGCTCCATGGCCATCATCTCTGGCGGGCAGGGCTACCGCAACTTTGGCAACGCCCTGGGCGGGGGCGGGAGGCCAGCCCCATGTGGGGAGACAGACAGCACCCTCCTCATCTGGCAGGTGCCATTGACGCTATAGCCCCCTCCCCAGAGGTACAGCTGCAGGCCTGCCTGAGTTGAGCCTCCAGGGCGCCGGTCCTCCAGGGACCTGCGCGGGGCTGGACCGATCCACCTGGACCTACAGACTGTATTCTCCAGTACCTACTTGGGCAGAATGGAGGAAACCTCTTCTTAAAGAAAAAAAGGTTTAGAGTGTTTCGGAGAGGGGTCTTACGGTTTGGGGAGAGGGAGGACGCATCTGGAGGAAATTGCCTTCTTTTTAAAAGCAAAAAACACAAAACCTCACAACTGCCTGGTGAGCCCAGTACCACTCGTCCGGGCCCAAGCGGGGCTCCAAGGCGGCCACGCGCCCCTCCTGGAAGGATGTGTGCGTGTGAGTATATGAGCGTGTGGGCTGGTGTGTGAATATATATAAATACGTATATATGGTGTATATTATATGTGTATAAATAAAGTCTGTACATATTGGAGCTCTGGGAGAGGCTGGAATAAAGGGCGAGAGTCACCTGGTGCCTGGACTGAGGTTTTGTCCCGCCGCGTGATGGGAAGAGGCGGGGAGGCAGCGTTGGCAGGGGGAGGAGCTGCCGGGCTCCAGGGTCAGCCTGCCGCTGGGCCAGCTCTAGAGCTGCACTGTCCTGTGTGGTCGCCTTAGCCACATGTAGCTTGCTGACTTTTCAAATTAATTAAAATCAGATCAGATTCCACATTCAGTCCTGCGGTCGCCCGGCCACGTTCCGGGCCCTGTGGAGTGAATGGAGAGAACTGGGAAGCACCGATGGGACGCTTCTATCCTGACAGGACGCTCTCGTCCTGAGAAGGGGCTCTGGGAGCTGCCTTTCTGAGTGTTTTTTGAAGAAATGCTGGGTCACCTGGCTCTGGAATGGCTTGGAGACAGGAGGCCTTAGTGTCTAATGGTGTGAGCCAGGGAGGGAAGGGAAGCTGGAGGCTTCTCGGGAGGTTGGGTGCCAGGTGGGGGTGGGACAGTCATTGTGGGTGACAGGAGAAGGTGGGGTGGGGGCTGTCCCTGGGTCTGAGGGAGGTTAAGTGCCTTGTAGACATGGTCTGTGTGCAGTGCCCTGGCTTCCCTCTCCTGGCTCAGCCTGTCCCTAGGTTTCCATACCTGCCTTCAGGGGAAGAATCGAAACTAAAAGCCATCGCCCAAAAGGGTAGCATTTTTCCATCCCCCACCCCCACCTCTCTGTCCTTGGTCTGCGTATCCGTCCACTCACCCCCTGTCCACGTCCACCTTCCCAGCCACATTCAGTAGCCATAGTACCAGGGTGCAGAGAAGAACATGGCAGACCCCAGCAGAGATGGGCCGAAGCTCTCAACCAGGCCTGGCCACGCAGCTCGGTGAGAGCTTCCACCTAAAGCTCTGGGTCCAGGGAGAGCCACCCGGGAGAGGGCATCCCAGCTGGTCCTCATCACTGGTGAGAGCTCGTCCACTGGAGAAGTCACTCACTCATTTTGCAAACTCCTGGGTCCCTGCTGTCTGCCAGGCACGGTGCTAGTTGCTGGAGTCATAGGGGGGAATGAACAGCTGTCATCCCTGCCCACAGCAGGCAGAAATACCAGAGGGTGAGGTTTGGGGTGGGCGTGGGGTAGATGTTCTGCAGAGGAAGGGGGGAGGAGGAAGCAGCCTGTACAAAGCTGAGGGATCTGTAGAGGTTGGCTTATTCCCAGAGGGCAGGGGGCCAACCGGGGTCCCCAGGAGGGAGACAGAAAGCTATGTTTAAAGGAACCACTGTCTGGAGGGTCCGGCTCCCACACTGACCAACTATGGTTCAGAGGTGACCCACTTTCTCCGGGCCTCAGTTTCCCATTTTGTACCAAGGGAGGAATGATCACTGCCCTGCCCCGCTTCTAAGTGTACGTGGGGTAACGTGCCCTCGTTCCACTTTCAGGGCTCAGGCTGGCTACTGAGCCTTGTCCTGATGTGACCCCCAGTGGGTGTGTTTATCCTGGTAGTCCTCTGGGGGCCGTGACTGAGGAGTGGAAGGTACTGGGATGAGGAGTGAGCCTGGCTCTGGGGTCCATAGGCCCGAGTTTGAGTCCGACTCTGCCAAAGCCCTGCTGTGTGGCTCTCAGCGCGTGCCTCAGTTGCCTCTTCCCTAGAACGGGGCAGAGGACTCCTTGCAGAATCACCGAGAGCTCGCAGTGCCAAGTCCGAGGAAGGCGTGGCCCTCCGTTGGGAGCCCTGTGACTGCCAAGTTCCTGAGCTCCTTGTTCCTAAGGACTTGAGGCAGACGTAAGAAGCCTCCGCTTCTGTGCAGGAGTTGGCGTCCGCGAGCTCTGAGCGTCTGTTAGAGCCTAGACCTGGAGATCTGATGGGGCCCGTGAAATCCCATCACCGGGAAAATGACTGATTTTGCTCCTCTAGTGAAATTATCATATCAGTCAACAGCTCGTCTCTGACAACAGAGCCAGAGAGGATGGGGCGTTGGAAATGGAGCCTCAGACGGAGCAGGACGTGCAGTGCGTATGAGAGCCGGCTCGCCTTAGATGTTGATAAGAGTAATAATAACCAAAAGGCGTTGGGTGCTTGGCTTATTTAGTTGTCATGAGAGCAGCTGCCTTCGCTTGCCTCGTTTTCCAGGTGGGGGATGAAGGCTCAGGGAATTTGCATAACTTGCCTAGGAAACTTCAGGGCCAATGACTGAGGTCTGGCTGGCAGCAGAAAAGGGCCTTAGCCTCCAGGCCACTCCACCTCTGAGACTAAAACTCGGGGGACAGGCCAGAATTCCAACAGTGCTTTCCTAGCGGTGTGACATCAGGCCAGCACCTTACCCCCTCTGCTCTCCAGGAGGGGGTAATGTAATAGTCCCCCTGTGGGAACTGAGCGTCATTCATTCAGTATTTACTGAGTACCTGATTTTTGCCAGGACCCGGTTTCAGGTCAGGACTGGGTAGAGGGTAGTGAACAAGACCAGCCCTGTCTTCTTCCTGCCCTCTGTCCCACTGGCAGGAGCAGGAGGGGACGACGCACAGACAGAGAAGAGAATAGAAGGGAGCAGGGGGGGGGCGGGGGGCTTGTGATGGTGAACAGGGTCGGGAGGCCTCACGGAGGAGGCGGCCAGTGAACAGACCTGTAGGAGGAAAAGGCACTGGGTGGCGGAACCTGCTGGGCCGAGGGAATGGTAAGTGCAGAGCTGTGTGGCCGGGGCGTGGCTGGGGTGGAGGAGTGCGGGTGCTGGGTGAGAGGCACACTTGGCCTTCCTTGGCCACAGGGGAAGTCATGGAGGTTTTGAGCGGGAGAGTGTCCCATCTGCCGTATGTGTTCAGTCACTTCTGGCCACTAAATTGAGAATATCCCACAAGGGCGAGGGTAGGAAGGCAGGAGCCAGGGGGCCAGCGAAGAGCTCTTGTGGTCCAGGTGCCAGACGCGGGGCTCAGACCAGGCGGATGTTGGGGAGAGAATGCAGAGGGCCCAGACTGGCTGGGCTCCCGTGTCCTGCAGCCTGCTGGGTTTGCAGAGAAATGGGGGGAGAGAGAAGCATCCAGGACGACCCCGGGTGCCCAGCCTGAGCAGCTAGCAGATGGGCTGCCAGTCCCTGAGGCGGTGACTGCAGGAGGGCAGCTCGTCGGGGATGATGGGGAACTGGCCTGTCAGAGCCCCACTGAACAACCAGGTGGAGGCGTGGGGAGGACAGTGGACCATGTGAGCTTGGGCTTAGCAGAGAAGTGCCAGCCAGGACACGTGTGGGGGTCTAGAGCCACGTGCCTGGATGGCCCTCCAAGGGAGCGGGTAGAAGACATCCGAGGAGCTGGCAGGGGGAAGGCGTGTCAGGAGGCCAGGAAAGGAGCAGGAAGTGCAGGGAGGCTGAGAAGCATGGCCCAGGACCCAGGTGGAAAGCCCAGAGGGCAGGGCCCCGGAGCCCTGGGGGGCTGGAAGGGGAGGGAGGGGCCTCTGTGCAACCTGCAGAGAGACAAGAGGCCTGGGGCTGACCTGGGACAGAGCTGCAGGTGGCCGAGGCTGACTTTGGCCTAAGGTAAGGCCACCTTGGGCAGAGTGGCTGGGAGGTGCGTTGAGACCAGGGTCTATGAGAACAGCGAGGAGGTCCTGAGTGCCCTTGGAGGCCAGGGAGGGGGTGGCGGGTGGCTATCAGGCCCTGGTGGTTGGGGAGGTGGGAGTGAGGCTGTCAGAGATGAGAGGGCGAGGAGGCCCTAGCTCAGAGGACCCGGAGTGAGTTGTCCCCTTCCCTTGGCCGAGAGGGAAACCCCTCCTCATCTTGATGAGCAGGGAGACCTCAGACAGCCCGGCTAGCAGGAGGCGGCTGGAGTTGGACCACCTGCCAGCAGGAGCTGCATAGCTGCTGACTGGGCTTGCAGGCCGATGGCTGGCTGTCTCGTTCCCCGCCGCAGGTGACCCACCTGCCATCCCTCGCCTGCTGCTGGGTGACAGTCACGGCCTCTGTCCCTGTCTCTGTGCTGAGGCCTGGGAGGCCAAGGCTGCACAACCCCTTCCCTCAGAGGAAGATGGGGCTGTCTACTGAGCACCCTTACCCCAGCGGGCTCCAAGATGGGAACAAGGCTGAGGCCACCTCCGGCCTTGGGGCCCAGCGGCCCTCTCAGTGGGGCTGCTGCCCTCGATGGGCTTGACACTCGGTAGTCATGACCGGGGAGCACAGAAATGGCCCTCTCTGTTCTCGAGTGACATCTTATTGCAGGCTGCGGATGCCATGGCAGAAAAGCCTTGCTCCTAGTTGCAGGTGACATGGTCATTTCGCGGCTTGGGCTGCCTCTCTGGGGCCGATGGGCCTGTGTGGGGGGAGTCATTCAGCAGGGGGGGCTGCAGGGGGCAGTGGGGGGG